GAGGCAAGGTGACCCACTGTCGCCATACTTATTCACCTTAGTTATTGAAGTGTTATCACTCATGTTGAACAATGCAGCTCTTATTAAGCAGCTCCCTTTCCATCCGCAATGCAAGTCCATAGGTTTAACCCACCTATGCTTTGTGGATGACTTGCTTATCTTTACTAAAGGTTCAGCATGAGCTCTCTCTTTCTTGTGTCAGGGGAGTGTTGGATAAATTCTATTCCATTTCAGGGATCAAATGTAATCCAGATAAATGTTCAGTCTATTTTGGTGGTACCCCTCGAACAGCTAGGGATATAGCGTTGAATTTAACTGGTTTTCAGGAAGGGTCTCTCCCTGTTCGATACCTGGGGCTCCCTTTGGTTGCTGGCAAACTTTCCGTGAGAGAATGTGATCTACTGATTGATAGGATTGTTAATAAACTCCGTTCTTGGAGGTTTGGGAAGCTCACCTATGTTGGCAGACTAGAGCTTATTTCCTCAGTCATTTACCCAGTTCTGCAGTATTGGCTTGGTATCTTTATTATGCCTAAGTGCGTTATAAAACAAGTTCAGAAACTCTGCTCTGACTTTCTGTGACATGGTAACGAATCAGGTAAAGCTAAGGTGGATTGGAATTTACTCTGGATTGGAATTTACTCACCATCCGAAAAAAGGAGGGTGGCTTAGGTCTCAAAGACCTTACTGTTTGGAATGTTGCTTCTGCAGGGAGGCTACTTTGGCTCCTCTTAATGCAGGGCGGCTCATTCTGGGTTGCTTGGGCTTATAACTATAAAATCAAAGGAAAATGCTTCTGGGATTTGAAAGAGACGCAAAGTGGATCTTGGATTTGGAGAAAGGTGCTTAAAATTCGATCTTGGTTTCAATATAGACTGATGGTGGAGGAAAGTGGCGAGGTGTCCTGGGAGGGTAAGTTGTTAGAGAAGTACAAGATTACAGTAGTGTGGAATTCCTTGCGGAGTAAGCAGCCTGCTGTAGCTTGGTGGCGCCTTTTATGGGCGAAATTTGCTAATCCTAGCAATAGGTTCATCACTTGGCTTATTATTAAAGACTGAATCATCACACGAGACAAGTTAATTCAATGGGGAATGGCTGTTGACCCTAGCTGTGTGCTCTGATAGAGGTTGGGAGTCGTGGTTTGGTGCTGTTGTTGGCTTATTGAAGGCAAATACCCAGGAGCCTGTTATCAGTTTCTGTTGGTGCTGGCTACTAGCTGCAATCTGGCGGGAGCGATGATGCAGAGTTTTTGGTGGTGGTATGCCTTTTGTGGAGAAGCTTGTGGCTAATTTTAGATCGGATGTAGATCTGTTTGGTATTAATCATCTTGAGTTTAGTGCTGCCTTTACTAACCTTCATGCGTAGGGACAGGGTAATCATGTAGAGGTAGATATAAGGGGTTGTTTTTTTGTGGGTTTCTTTCTGTGTTGGGTGTTTTTTCACCATTCTTGTATTTTCAATTCTGGATTTTGCCAGTTGAGCTTAATGAAAATCGCAACTTATCGAGAGAAAAAAATATCGTAACTCTGAAATATATTTTCATGTTTGGCAATATCAAGGTGATGTCGTAAGTACAAAAAGTGAGTTAGGTTTAACTCTGTGTATATCATCTGTTTGTTTTTTTCTCATTTCTCTTTTGTGAAATGTAGTTATGACTCATATGTATTAAATATCCAAATTTTCACTTTCATAATTTAGTACTTTAGTCATACCAAAAATCTTGCAACCCTGGTGGTGCCATGCATGTCAGAGTCGGTTAATTATAATTCCAAAGTGTAAGCTTTGAGTCTCGGAATTTTCTGATTTACCCCTTACCCTCCCGTGTAGTTGTGGTAGACAAGTCTATGACAAAAAATAAAAAAAGTACTTAATCATGATTTATATATAAAATTTATCAAAACATATTAGTTAGCTAGATGAATATTATCATGAATACTTGTTAGTTATCTTTCCGATGATGATTTATAAATAAAATTTATCAAAACATATTAGTTAGCTAGATGAACATTATCATGAATACCTGTTAGTTCTCTTTCCGTTGTTGAATGATAAAACAAATATTGGGTGCTCGGAGGATCTTGAGTTTTCAATTTTACCACTCCTATCTACGTTGATTGATGTTTCACCAACATAGGGCATTTGGTCTAGTGGTATGATTCTCGCTTAGGGTGCGAGAGGTCCCGAGTTCAATTCTCGGAATGCCCCTATTAGATATATTTGTATCTAAGTTTTGTCAAAGTTTTATATACCACCCTACCCTATCACCTATAAGGAGAAAAAGAATACTGCAAATAAATTCATGCTTTGGAGACTTATAGCCTAATAATTGAATTGTTTTTGTATTGATATGCTATCACAAGTGTAATAATTAGATATAGATATATAACAGCTTGTTTAGTCACAAGTTGTTGCTCTCTACAAAGTCTATCCATTAGCCAATTTTATAAGTTGATTGAATAAAGATCTGTATGTGTAGGGGTGAAATATATAAAATAAGTACTCAACAGGTTTTGGATTTCAGAAGTTTTTCCTTCAAATTTCAATTGCTCTCGTCTTCATGTTACTATAGATGGTCCCCGACAAAATTGTACACAAATTTTAATCAATTATCGATTTATCGAGAGATGTAATTTATTATTCATATAAGGAATTTACGATATTGATGTTTCCCTCCCGGTTGTAACCTACTCGTTATGATCCGTTTTTGTCGACTGCACATGACATGATCGGGTGTAAAGCTTTGATTAACTAATCAAATATGGAAAAACTTCCTCTTAAGGAATGGAGTAGTATAATTGAAGAAATCTATTATTGGCTCTTGGGATACTGTTGTGGGCAACTTGTACATTTGATGCATTCTTTCTTAGCCATAATTGGAGGCATATGGCTCCCATGACGTTTGAAAATTGGTCAACTAATTCCTGCAAGTTTTTTCCATAAAAAAAAAATACAATGATAGCTATAAATGGAAAAAGTCAAATGAATCAAATTGGGTACCTGGATCATGACTTACTGTAAATGGATTATATATGAACCCTCCAAAGTCAACTATAGTGGTGGTTGGTTGGTTGGACTTAACATACAGTTAGTCGGCAGTTGCTAGTTAGCATGGAATAAGTTTTGCCAAACTTTGTGTTCTTTCTTTCTTTCTTTCTTTCATCAATTATAGTAATTGTGGGTTAGCTTTAGATTGATATAGTGTGTGAGTAAACATGTGATTGAGATAGTGTGAAATATGTTTGCGTTGTTCTCCATTGTTCGGTTTTGATTTTCGGCCAAGGAAAATCACGTTGGAGTTAGTTCTGGTCAATTATTGATGGAGAGACCTATCTTCGGGACACCAAGATGGCAATACCGACTTCCCCACGGCATGTTCTGAGTCCCTATCCCTAACCAACACCCGATCTTGGTAATTTAAACATAATTATTAATTAATCCATCGACTCGGATCAATATACTCTCATTCCCATTTTTCCAATAGTGATAGATTTATCGTCGAGGTGCATCCTCCAATAGTGAGAATTCGATGGGATGGAAGATGGAGTAGAGGAATGTGAGATTTAATGACTTATTATGAAGAAGAGGTGGAGAAGGTATGAAGAGGAAGATGGTATATATGAAGGCACCATATGTATAATATATAAAAGATGAAATTAAATTAGAAAAAAAAAGGGGAGATGGATGAAAAATGAGGTGGCCAACAATCCAACCCAGCCCAAAACTATTTGATCCTTTACGAGTCAAGATTGAATCCTTCTTCCATCCATCAATGTCTACGGACAATTGCACTCTCCAAATAAGTTAGGTTGAACCGAAACCAACCGAATTCCATCCTCAATCAGTTCTAGAATGGAACTGTATACTCGCATTGCACATGTTACATGTATAGAAATGTTGCCTTAGTAATAGTCTCTAGAAAAGATGGTTTCAAATAATGAGCTGCCTTAAAAACCCAATGAGAAAATTAAAAAACTGGAGCGAGATACTACAACTAAGCTAATTACTTGAAAATTTTAATGCAATGGGGAAAGAAATTAATGTCGAACCTGCAGCAAAGTTCGTTGTTTCTATTACTTTTTTAATTATTACAAAGTTAATAATAATCATCGTCATTATTATCAGAAGAAAGACAAGCAGAGTAAGCTCACTACTGGAGCTGATTTCCAGAGCGAACCTAACTCCAATCACATCCTACGACGATAGCATCGAGAACATGCATGTTTCCATACGAATTAAGTTAGGGCATGTCATTTTGTCGCAAGAGCTTAAAAGGAAAGTGAATTATAACAATCGGGAACTTAAACAGGGACTAATACTGCCAAAACTAACACTTAGTAACAGTTGGCTGAAATATAGGTTTAATTTGCAACATTTTTGTGATTAGTCCAACATTTTTTTAATTATCAATGTAACATTAATCATGAACGAGATATGTCCGTTAAAAAATTAATTATAAACTGAATTATGGACGATTGAGATTGATTTGGAATGAACATTAATCGATTGGGTAGAAGATTATTGAAATAAGCTATTCGCTTTGCTACACAATGATTGTGATCATGTACTAGTGTCCCGCGTGTACAAAGGATATGACGCTCAAGCGATCCATTGATTTTGAACAAAGGATATGATGTTTTGCCCCCAGTTATAAAAAAAAAACTATTCATCTAATCCGTTCTCACTGTAAAATATTAAAATTACTACGGTAAGTTTTTAGAAGATTTATTCCTCCAAAATCACAAAATTAGTACCACAAATTCCATTTTAACCCCCGGACTATTACATACCAACTCCCCGCTTCGCCATCGCCGACACGTAGGAACATAAAAAAGAAAAGGAAACCAAAAGGAGAAAGAAAAGGAAAAAAAAGCCTAACACAGGCGAAGAAAGAAGAAAAACCCTTCGATCAGCTTCCACGCGCCTTCTCCATGCGGTGTAAGCCAAGCGGTGGCCGCATACAAATACCGGGAAATCCTGAAGCACGAGTTCATCCCGTTCCTACAAAACACAGCCATCCGACCCAACGAGTCGCCGAGTAAACTATCTCTCTCTCTCTCGACTCGCTCTCCCGCCGCCCCATTGTGTCACAAAGCTGAAAAGCCTCCACCTTCTTCTTTTTTTTTTCACCAGTTTCTGTTTTCTTCCCCATCTCTCCGGTAATCATAAGAGCTTTTGACGCCAGAGCTGGCCTGAAACCGTCAGGCTGTGAGTTCTGTTCAGCCACTGAGGCGAGCGAGCTAGTTGGGCTTCTTCCGCTTTTAATTTTGGCGATTGAATACACTGGTTTCCGCAGGCGGGAGTTATGGCGTGGAAAGTGTTTGTCAAAATGCCTCAGTTAAAAAAAAAAAAAAATTGAACCCCCAATGAAAAAGTGAAGCGTTTTGTGAGAGGTGGGTGGGTGGTACTGAGCCTGTGGCCGACTTTATGAAGGTCAAGACGGGTAATAACTGAAACTGTGACAAGAGGGCACGAGGCCGTCTGTTTGTGAGTGGTGTATATATTGTATACATATATATTGAGTTGTGTGTCGAAGGTGGGAGAAGAGGAAAAAATGGACGGTTTGCTGGGTAGAAGGATGTTCAACGTCTCTGTTTGTGGGCAAGATGAGCTGGAGCATATATCAAGAGATGGCAGCCATTACAGCCTCTCGACTGGGATACTTCCATCTCTTGGTGCGAGGAGCAACAGGAGGGTCAGGCTCAAGAATTTCATTATCTCGCCTTATGATCGTCGTTACAGGTAAAACTGGTTCAATGCCCGTGAATTTGGAATGGTCGGTTTGCTATTTTTTTTTTTTACTCTTTGCTGCCGTTTCTTTGACTTGGTGGCCGGTGTTGTGCTTTCTGGGTTCGTTCTTTTGTGAGGTAAAGTTTCAGTCTTTTACAGTTTACTTGTGTTGGTGAATTGGTTATGTTGTTTTTGGCTTCCTTGACTCGGACCGCCATTGTCGGTTCATTTGGGTTACTGGTTGTTGTGTTGAATTTTGGCAAATGGGTGCAATGAATGCCGTGAGCCAGGTTGCTCGCAATTGGATTAAAATGGATCAGCGGGTGATCCTAGATTTGTTTATGTGTTTCATCTTTGGAGTTTAGCATTTTCCCCCCTCCAAACTCCAATGATTCATCTTCTGTCAGTTTGTGCCAACTTGGGCTGTTTTTGGGATTTCCACCCTTCGTTGCTGTGATCCCTTTTTGTCTCTTCTGATCATAGATGGCTTTTTCCCTTTGGATCTTTCTTCGGGCTAAGTTTTTCTCTGTTATTGTTGCCTCGTCTCCATCGTAGCTAATTTTCTTTCTGTCCAGTGGTATAGCTGCTTTGTTTATCCTTTTTAGTGCTTCCTAAGCAAGTTTTGGTTTCCTTAATTGTACAGCTGTGCTTTGTTTTCCCTAAGAAAGTTTAGTTTTTTTCCCCCTTCATTTGTTTGATGGATCCTGTGCTTTTATATTTTCTGAATCCTGCAAAAGGGACATTGTTGCTCATTCTCTTGTAAGCTAGCTGTTTTTATCCTCTGTGCTTAGAAGCTGCCGAAGAAGACAATTCCTCTATCAGTCCCTTTATTCTGTTTCGTTTGGGTTTCAACGATCTGGTAAAAAAATTGTCATAAACCCCTGCTTTGACTTTTGACTTGTATCATACACATTCCACCAACCCATTTAGAATCTGCTTTCAACTTGCCTGTGTTCTTTTGGCAGAGTTGAGATGCTAACTTCAGCAATGATTTGAATCTTGCAGGATATGGGAGACATTTCTCATTGTCTTGGTCATTTACACAGCATGGGTATCACCTTTCGAGTTCGGATTTCTTAGAAAACCAGAGGGGCCACTCTCAATAACCGATAACATTGTGAATGGATTCTTTGCTATTGATATCATTCTCACCTTCTTCGTGGCTTACCTCGACAAAGCGACTTACCTTCTTGTGGACAACCGAAGACAGATTGCTTGGAAGTACACGAGGACATGGCTGGCCCTTGATGTTATTTCCATCATCCCGTCTGAACTCGCATGGAAAATCTCCCCTAAACCATTCAAGTCCTATGGCATGTTTAACATGCTCCGCCTATGGCGTTTGAGAAGAGTTAGTTCCTTATTTTCCAGGTAAGGGAGAAGCCTTTTTTTCCTGCAGATTCTTATTGATTACATGTTCTTTTGACCTCTGCAAGAAGCCTAAAATGTGTAATACTTTGGTCAGATTGGAGAAAGATAGGAATTACAACTACTTCTGGGTTCGATGTGCCAAGCTCATTTGTGTAAGTATTGAAGAGATGTTTTCGTTTTGCAAATTCTGGATCTGACTAGGATGTGAATAGTTCATGTAGCTCACCTTTTTGGTTAATGCACAGGTCACACTTTTTGCTGTGCATTGTGCGGGATGCTTCTATTATCTTATCGCTGCTCGCTACCACAACCCAGAAAGAACATGGATTGGAGCATCTCTTGGGAGTGACTTTCTAGAAAGAGGATTATGGCTTCGATATGTGACTTCAATGTACTGGTCTATTACTACTCTTACAACTGTTGGCTACGGCGATCTGCATCCTGTGAACACAAGAGAGATGATATTTGACATCTTTTACATGCTCTTTAACCTCGGGTTGACTGCATACTTGATCGGTAACATGACCAACTTGGTTGTTCATGGTACCAGTCGAACCAGGAGATTCGTGAGTGATCATTTACTTTTCTTATATTCTAGTAGGATAATCATTGTATTATGTGTTATTCAGAACCTTTTACCGATAATGCAAAATTTGCAGAGGGATACTATACAAGCTGCTTCAAGCTTTGCTCAGAGGAACCAGTTACCAGTGAGGCTACAAGATCAAATGCTTGCACATTTGTGTTTGAAATTCAGAACAGATTCAGAGGGACTGCAGCAGCAGGAAACTCTTGATTCCCTTCCGAAAGCCATTCGGTCAAGCATTTCACATTACCTGTTTTATTCTCTTGTGGACAAAGTCTACCTGTTTCGTGGGGTCTCAAATGACTTGCTTTTCCAGTTGGTAAGTCGTTTATAGAGAAAGCCATTTTCCCTTTGTGTTCTCAAATATTCTTGTTCATATCTCGCTGTTGTTTACTGAAAACTGTACCATTACTCTCAAAAGGTTTCAGAGATGAAAGCTGAATACTTCCCTCCCAAAGAAGATGTGATTTTGCAGAATGAAGCACCAACAGATTTTTATATACTCGTCACTGGTGCCGTGGTAAAATTTCCAACTTCCACATATTTGTGCATATTTAAGTTTGAATAGCATTTTCCTTTTTAGTCTTCTGCTGCTGACATTTCCCTTTTACTTCCTAGGATCTACTGGTTCTCAAGAATGGAGTGGAACAGGCAAGCCCTGCACCTTAGAAATGTTTGACTGCAATACTCATGAACTAAAATGAATAAGCTTTGTGCTGAAATCCTTACTCTGAACTCCTTGCAGGTGGTTGGGGAGCTTAAAACAGGTGATCTTTGCGGTGAGATTGGAGTACTTTGTTACAAACCACAGCTGTTTACGGTGAGGACTAAAAGATTGTGTCAGCTGCTTCGAATGAACAGAACTACATTCTTGAATATCGTTCAAGCCAATGTTGGAGATGGGACAATCATAATGAACAATCTTCTACAGGTTAGTGAATTCAATCTTTAACCGTGCAGAATGAAGCATTGCTTTGGATAGTAAATTTTGCTGCCTGTACTGATGGCTTGATGATGGTCTCAGCATTTGAAAGATCTTAAGGATCCAATAATGGAGGGAGTTCTGCTTGAGACAGAGAACATGCTGGCTCATGGAAGAATGGACATTCCTCTCAGCCTATGCTTTGCTGCAATGCGGGGAGATGATCTCTTGCTGCACCAGCTACTCAAACGTGGTTTGGATCCAAATGAATCTGACAACAACAACAGAGCAGCCCTGGTAAAGCTTCCACCTTTTTTTACTTGTCCCTTCTACAAGTCATGCCTGAATAGTAAAGTCCATTCTGACATTCTTGGTCAAATATATCAGCACATTGCAGCATCGAAAGGAAGCGAGAACTGTGTGCTTCTTCTGCTTGATTATGGTGCTGATCCCAACTGCAGAGGTAAGTCAAGATTTCTTGCCATTTTTGGAGTTTCGTTGACCTCTGTTCATCTAGCCCCTTTTTATATTATACCTTATCTAACTTTCGGATCTATTAGACTATTACAACCACTACTTGAATTAGTAATAGCATTGACTGAGACCTGGGCATAAAATATACTACTCGAAAACAAGTTTAGATCACCGGCACAGAAGTTGGTTTACTTAAGATACAAGTTTGCATCACCATAATTTAGTTGACTTTGAGAGTTATCCAAAGCAAACTATTCATAAAAATTAAAAATACTGTGTAGATCCAATCATGGAGTTTCTTCAAGTATCCTGATGTCAGAAAGTTTGATATTTTCTCAGACTCGGACGGCAACGTGCCACTGTGGGAGGCCATTAAAGGCTGCCACGCCGGAGTAGTGAAGCTGCTTCAAGAAAACGGCGCCACCATACAATCAGGAGATGTCGGCCACTTCGCGTGCACTGCAGCGGAGGAGAACAACCTCGACCTTCTCAAGGAAATCGCCCGCCACGGAGGTGACATCACGGCCCCCAAGACCAGCAACGGCAGCACAGCGCTCCACGTCGCAGTCTGCGAGGACAATGCCGTGATCGTCAAGTACCTTCTCGACCAAGGCGCCGACGCGGACAAGCCGGACGTCAATGGGTGGACGCCTCGCGATCTGGCCGACCAACAGGGCCACGAGGAGATCCAGAACATGTTCATGACGTCGAGCAAAGAACCAAAAGATCATCATCAACAGCCACCGGTGGTGATTTCGTCGATACCGGAGAAGCAAGAGAACGGGATCAGGTACCTAGGGAGGTTCACGAGCGAGCCAGCGATCCACCCTGTCGTGGCGAGCGACGAGGACAGTTCGTGGAGCTCGAGGAGGGCGAGGAGGAAGACGAACAACTTCCACAACTCGCTGTTTGGGATGATGTCAGCAGCTGCGCAGAACGGGGATGGTAATGGCGGCAAGGAAGGAGCCCTGTTTTCGGTGGGCAATGGGAATGGAAGCCAAGCGAGCAGGGCGGCGAGAGTGACGATAAGTTGCCCGGAGAAGGGAGGCGATACGAGGAAGCTTGTGGTGCTTCCTAAGACGTTTCAGGAGTTGCTTGACTTGGGGGAAAAGAAATTCGGGATCAGGGTTGGTAAGGTGGCGACTATGGATAGGGTTGAGGTCGATGATATTGAGGTGATTAGGGATGGTGATCAATTGATGCTTGTGAGTGAAGGAACGATTGAGGGTACTGATACTACTAATGATACGTGATTGATGATTGGCAATTGTAACCTTTGCAAGTGTATATAGTTTGAGTTGTGATGATGGGGAAATGAAGAAGGTGTTCAGTCCCCAGTGTTCTTTTGGTGTTCTTGTTTGTGTTCTATCCTCTCTTATGATAATGAAAGTGCCTTCCTTTTGCAAAGAGATGCAAATCCAGCAACGGTTTCCACACCCTTCTTGTGAAGACATCACTTCGTTAGTTATTTTCCGTTAATCAATTTTGTTTTTACAACAACATGAAAATTTAGAGAGCCAAAACTAAGTACGAAATTGTAACTTCAAAATAAGAACTATGAAGAAAGAGTTCTTATTTAGGTGCATTGATGCAAAAACTAACATAACACAATATAATAGATGATTTCAAAAGAATCCGTCAAAATTTCTGATGAATACCCTTCAAAATAAGTGAAAAATTGTATTTAAAATAATCTTCCAAAATCTATGAAGGATAACCTTTAAATTGAATTTACTTGAAAATAAATGATATCATAGTGGAATCTCAATTGACATTTTCAATCCTCTTCCCTATACCTAACTCTAAAATGGTCGGTTCTCGATCTTTGTATTAGGTTCTCGTCGAGATTTTGTCTAAACATACACCATAACACACGAAGTTTAGTAACCTGCTTTGACTGGGTCATGAAGATTAAGAATGTTAAGATATACTATGTTAGAAAGGAAAAATCATCTGAGTAACACACAAATTGGGTATTTATCTATCAAAAAGCTAATCTTGATTTGAATATTTGCATAATTCTGGCATTGTATAACATAGATGGATTCATATAAATGTCTGCACTTGAATTCCTAGATCTTCTAGTAATCTCTCTTTCAGATGATACAACAAGATTTAATTTACAACAACATTCTCAGCTATTCTCTTCCTCTGCCTTCAGTCTCTTCTTCTTCGATCGCTATCCAACAACTCTGTCACATGAATTCCCCACCTCTCTTCTCCCCCATCAAAAAGCTTCATCCCCCGCCATTGTTAATCGTCCAAGAAGTTCCCAGGATAAACCTACACCAAAAAGAAAATATCTTTAGAATCACCATATTTCAAGAATGCATCAAAACACCATGCTCTGTTTTTTTAATTTTTGATCCCTCCTCTTGCCTGGTTGCTCTTCTCCTGACTCACGCTCGTAGATCTCAGCCTCAACTCGCCCCTTCCGGTCGTCAACTCATCAAACACCTCAGCCTCTTGTGAATCAAATCCAGGCCCGCCTTCTCTCGAATCGATCCTCTGCCAAAAAATAAAAAAAATAGAGCATGAAGATCCATTTCTTTCATATAGTTTCCAAAATGGAGATGACAGGAAAGTTGGGATTGTGTTACCCTCAACGACATCGAACGAGTGCGGAGCGGGTCGCCTTCAATCTCTTCGTACTCGACTCCGTCGAGCTCTTTCAAGTGAAGGGGTTGGAAGAATTTGGGTAGGATCTTCTCCCTGATGCTTATCAGGAAGAAGAAAGGCAGGGGAAATAGGATCCCCGCGACGGGGATCCACGTTACTCCGAAGCATATCAGGAAATAGACCAACTGGAAGATAGTGAACTTGGATGTCTCCTTGAAGGGGACCGTCTCCACGAACGATGCGTGTGGCCTTTCCAAAATCCTGATGATCGCGACAAAAGTCACAACGAAATGTGGCTTGGGATTCTAAATATAAAGGGATGGATTTGGTTTATGAAAATGGAACAACTTACTTGTGGCGTCTAGCGGGAGAAATGAGAAGCAGAACGATTCTCTCCCAGAACTGGTTTCCAGGAAGACTGTCGATCGCCATGTAGGCAAAATACCCCCACAGGACCGAAGTCGGTATCTTCTTGATCACAGGTATCGCCATCAGAGACAGACCAACGAGCAAAGACTGCATGAAGTTGCTAAACCTCTGCTCGATCACCCTAGTAGGCAAGTAAGCGTCTATCTTCTCTGGGTCGAAGCTACTTTCGCTACCATCTTTGCTCATCACCGCTTCTTTCAAGTTCTTTAACTCCTTCGCCGCAGATGGCTGCAATAAATTTTGATTGAATAGTTCAATTGTAGAAGAGATGAGTGTGTTATTGTTAGAAGTTGGCTTCACTTACAGTTGCAGTCCCATCCATTCGAACAAAAGCCTCTTCCATTTTGCCGTAGACTTTCGACTTGCTGTCATGCTGCATCATGCTTTCCTTGGCTGTTTTCACCATCTTCTTCCTTATCAGCTGCATTCATATCAATCAATAACGCCATCAACGAAGACTGGGAATTAAATTAAAGTCTCCCGAGTTTTCTCAATGGAACTAACTTACCTGGCCATTGAGAACCGAAAGGCTTTTGGTATGCATAGGAGATTGAGGGAGTACTCCATTACATGGAGGGAGGCCAATCAATCCGCAGATTAGAGTCTGAAAAGCATCATCCACACGAAAGAGAATCAAATACATAACCGGGCTTAGTTCAAATCGTTAACAATGATGTTGTATATCTTAACATAATTGTGCATGACATTACATCGAACGCTGTAAATGTACATTTTGAAATGCTTACAAAACATTTGTCGAGATTTCTGGATTCGTCGTTACCAATTCGCTGACGATAATGATGTGTTTGTATGTACAATAAATTCATATTGTAGTTAATGATGTAATCCGAAAACACATACCGTGATGCCAAGGATTAGGATGTCATAATGGTAAGCAGAGGGCTTCTTGATATTGAACTCTTTCTGTTGTGCCATCTGAGAAGCAACACTATGATCGAAGAAGTAAAGCCCCGCAACCATCACAGCAGGTATGAATGCAGCAAGAATGAACACAGGAGGCACTTTCCCCATATCCTAAAAAACAAACAAATCGTCAAATTCCATTCCATCATTTTTCTCAAATCCTCTGCCTTAGAACACAAAATTTATTCCTACAAAATAGAGCAAAATTGATTACCAGGAACACCGTCCAGTGTCCCATGGAGGCAGGGTCCCAAGGCAGGGGAGTCTGCAGCCGCCGTGGAATCCCTTCCGGTACTTGGCTCGGGATTGTCAACGACAGTGCCGCCCATGCCATCACCACCAACGGAACTCCGTAATCAGCGATGATACTACGAAACCATCCAGTGCCGTAATCCCAAGACCTCGCCTTTCTGCTCTTCAGAGCCGTGATGAGAACTCCAAATGTGAAAATGACTCCCAGAAGGCCGTTTACGTATAGCCATTGGAAGCTGTTGTCAGGCGATTTCACGTCCTCGTGTTCCAGAGGGCTGAACTCACCCACCATCCCCTGTTTTTTATCCAAACAAACAAGTGTTCATATTCTTGTTTGTTTTTGGTAACCACAATTCAGGGGATTGATTTCATTTTTACCTTTATTGCCTGTTGAAAGAAAAGAACTGCGATTAACATCCCAAATGTCTCCCCTGCAAGTCTGGTGAACTTGTTGAGGATGTTGCAGGCGTCGAAGACGGCGAGGAGAATGAGCAGTAAAGCTGTCCAGACACATACCCTGAACAACGCAGAGGATAAGAGAAATTCATTTAGTTGATTTGGGAAGACAAAGGTGGTTTTTTTGTTGAAATGGTTTGGCAAAAGTGCAAAGGTACCATCCAGCCCAAGCAAGGTACAAAGTTTTTCCTACGGCGTCAGAGCTTTTGGCGAAAGTGTAGATGTAGCTGTACATGATGACGGTAGGCTCTGCAACTCCCACCACCAATAATGGCTGCCCGCCGATGAGAGAATGGATGATTCCGCAGAGAGCGGTGGAAGCTAGAGTCTCCACCGTGCTCAGGCTTCCCTCTGAAATTGCGAGAAAATTTGTGGTAGAGACATCAATGGAGGAAGAAAGAAAGAAGACAGTGCACAGGTTGGAGAGAAGAAAATCCAAACCAGAACCTGTTTCTCGACTGAGTTGTTCTCCAAAAGCGATGACTGGGAGAGCGGAAGCGAAGAAGATGTAGGCAATGGGTGCGAATATCCTGAAGTGTAAATCAACAAGATAATGAGCAAATCCATTTGACACATTTGGAAGGGGGAAAATAATAAAAATGGAGGCAAAACATAGAGACCTGGGACCAGCGGCGAATGCATTGCTCCAGTCATCTCCATAGACTTCTTTTCTTCCTTTCAAGTCCTGAATGATTCCTTTCATCGTTTATTGCTTCATAGAAGGAAATGAGAAGCGAGATGAAGCGGTAATGATTCACAAACAATTGGGGACGAAGATAAATAATGCAAGAAATAAGAAGAATGAATGCTCTATTTTTTCTTGGTTAACAAACAGAGAGGTCGTTTGCTATTATTGTACCTTGGTGGCAAACTTGATACAAACCAAACCAGACGCCAATAACCGCTAATTGGCGTCTGGAATGAAGCTAGCAAATTGAAGTTTCGGGTATGAGAGAAATTTAGGAATTGAAATGAGAAGAGGGGTCAGAACAGAGAACAAAGAACAAAAAGAAGAAGAGAGAAAAAAACAGGGAGGAAACAAGAGAACGATGGCAGGAAGTCTAAAGGAAGAAAAACAGAATTGAATGCATGGTAGCCGTTCGTTTCAGACTTGCAATGGAGATGTGATTGGCGCTTGTTTTGGTTCCAATTTTATTTTTTCTCCCCTTCCCTTCCGTTTTCCATTATTGTGGTGGACATGCCCAAAAGCTAAAGTTTTTTTTTCTCTATCCTTAGAAATTGATTGGGTTTGCCAGAATTGGGCTGGATCATAAATATTGGTACGTTAATCGAATTGGTTGTCCGTACCTTCTTTCAAGAGTCCATTTTCAATCTCAATTCTTAATGGTTGTTTCCTTACTAAGAGAAGCTGCTTTATGATGAGGATTTGCAACACATGGCTTAAGATAGGACAATATTGTATAATTAGTTTTGAGCCCTTAGTTTTGAGTAAGATATAAAAGTTGAATCAATCTTATAAAAGAAATAGAAGTTTTTTTTATTTTGAATTTAATTTTGATTTGAAGCTACCAAATATATGTTCACAAATCACGTTAAACACATAACTAATACTAGGATGGCAATCGAACCAACACTTACGTGAATCCACCAACCTCCGATCTTGTTAACACATGAGAATTCCTGCATCCACTAGATATAGGGTGGATATAGATAAACCCTGCAAAGGTTTGATGGGGTGGACATTGAAAAATATAGTGATCATATTTTAATTTCTCAATGACGGGATAATTCAAAAATTAAGAGTTGAAATGTAATCAAATCATCACTCGAGTCAAACAATAATTTATTTCCCTTCATTCACCCTTCACCCTTTGACTTCTTTCCCCATTGTTTTTTTTTTTGTCAAAAGATATCATATATTAATCCGAACAAATAGATAGTTACATCCTGGAAACCAGCCAGGCCCGGAAATCAAAGAAGCGACTCACAGTCGGATACAAGGAGAGAGCTTTTTTAGCTACCGAGTGAGCTACCTTATTGTGCTCCCGACCTACAAATCGCACACTAAACCCAGGATGGGCGCAAAAATAATGACCTATCTCTTCCAGGACAACACCCAACCGGTTACCCCTCGTATCAGCTTGATTAATTTTATCAATAATCACTTTCGCATCGCCCTCGAACCGGACCGTCGACAATCCACACTCCAAACACCAAATAATAGCCTCCCGAAGCACAAGTAATTAAATCGCTATAGGCTCATCCAGTTGAGAAAACTGAACCCCCTTCGCCAAAAGGAGCTTCTGCGCCGGATCAAAAAGAACCACCCCTAGTGGCCCCGTCCCACATGAAAACCAATCGTGAATCACCTACATGAGTCACTGGCTGTACCAACGGACAAGACACCCTAGGAGCCTGTTCAATCGGCAAGCCCACCCATTCCTCATATTGTTGGGTAAATTGGCGCATTAGCGCTGGGATCCCAAACTGTTTGCCTTCAAAGACAACCCAGTTAAGAGACCGCCAGATCCGCCAAAGAATGGCAACAACAGCTAGGAACAATGACGGTTGATGGATCAGCACCAGCAGACGTTTGAGAAATAATGGAAAGGTGTGCCGAGGCAAACCCTCCCCCAAGTATTCCAGCCCTGAATAGTCCCAGAGAGCCCGCGCAACCGGACAATAAAGAAACAAATGCTCCATCGTCTCTGGGCTATCCAAGCAAAATGGACAACGGGGAAGCACATGGAACTTTTTTTCAATGAGCGCCTCAGTAGTTGGTAGAGCCCGACTAAGAATTTGCCAGACGAAGACCTTCAGCTTCGGAGGGATCTTAGCCTCCCACAAACGGATCCAACTTGGCTTATCCATCCAAATAACCGAGGACCGCCACCCACCCCTCCTCCTGTCCAACTCAACAGCGAAATGGTAAGCCGACTTTACCGAGAAAACCCCGTATGCCGTGTTATGCCATAAGTTTATCAGCCACATTCCGCCGCGGAAGTGGAATAACCTTAATGGCACGACAGGTATACGGGTCAAACCATAGCCCTTACCCTTCACAAATATCCTCTGCCACCGAGGGATCACGCCCGTATGGCAAGATCGGCGGATTATAGTGAGGGGGATCCAGCTGAAGCCCAGGAATCCAGTTAGAGTGGAGAAGAGAGGCCGATCGGCCATTGCCGACCTGCCATCTTAAACCCATCTCCAATAACTGGCGCCCATAAAGGATACTCTGTCACCCCCATGAAGGGCGTGATCTAGCTGTCGCGCCGAGGAAATTTTCTTGAGGGAAGTACTTCCCTTTATACACCTGGGCAAGGAGGGAATGGGGTTCATTGAGGATACGCCAGCCAATCTTTGCTAAAAGAGCTTGGTTAAAATGTTCAAACCGGAGAAATCTCATCCCCCCATCATGCTTACTCCTGCACATATTGCGCAAGGACACCCACCTAACCTTAGGATGGTCCTCATCAGCACCCCACCAGAATCGAACCACATGTCTATCCAATAGTCGACAAAGAGAGAGGGGTAGCTGGAAACACGACATAACATGTAGGGGTAGAGCCAACGCTAGTGACTTAATCAATGTTTCCTTTGCTGCCCAGGACAATCTCCTTTGTTTCCACCCCTGAAGTCGCTCAATTAGTTTCTCCATCAAATATTTGAATGTAGCCATTTTGGATCTGGCAACAAGCGTGGGTAAAATGAGAGATTCTCTTGATCTGGCAGGGCAATATTTTTGCTAAAGCACACCGCAGATTTCTCCAGATTAACCCGTTGGCCACTCAGCTCCTCATATTCGTTCAAAACCTCGATTAAATTCTCGCACTCCTGGAGAGAACCTCGCAAGAATAAATAAGAATCATCAGCGAAGAACAAATGAGAGATTCTTGGAGCACGTGGAGCCACTTTTACCTCCTCCAGTTTCTTTTCCGAGATTGCATTCCAGAGGACAGCCGCAAACCCCTCCGTGCAAAGCACAAACAAGAGAGGCGATAGCGGATCCCCCTGACGGAGCCCCCGGGGGGAAGTGAAATAACCCGAAGGGGTACCATTCATCAGGACAGAAAATGATGAGGAACGAAGACATTCATTTATCCATCCTTGCCAGACATAGTTAAAACCCTTTTTATCCAAAACTGCCAGAAGGAAGGGCCATTCGACTCTATCATAGGCCTTTTCCATGTCAATCTTTAGAGCCATGTACCCCTTCTTCCCCTGCTTTTTGATTTTTAGATAATGCATTAACTCATGTCCAAGAATGATGTTATTAATAATCTTCATGTCTCTTATAAACGCATTCTGACCCTCAGAGATGATCTGGGGGAGCAGACCAGCAAGCCGTTCAGCCATGATTTTGGTTATCACTTTATAAACAAACTGACATAGGCTGATCGGACGCAACTGTCTGATTGTTTCCACATAATCCACTCTAGGAATCAAAGTGAGCCGGGTATGGTTAAAACTCCGCAACATCCGACTCGTTGTAAAGAAAGAGCATACTGCTTAAATCACCAAAGTTCCCACAATATCCCAGAACGCTTTGAAGATCTTTCCTGTGAAGCCATCCGACCCCGAGGCTTGCTTTGACCCCATTGAAAAGACCGTTCTCTGAACCTCACCAGGCAATACCTCAGCCATCAACTGCGCATTCATTTGTGGAGTAACACTATGGGCAATGGGAAGTGTAGACACCACATTTTGTCCGGATTTCGACCTCTTAGATATCGAACTTATTCAACGATCTAAAGTGCAGCGTGTTTGGAATTATCTGCAAACAACGACCAGGTTGAGAATTGAGAAGTATCACAGTTTGGGTTTTCGTATTAGAGGATTTGATCAATGAGAAGATTTGTTCAATGTTGGAAGACAAGGACGAAAAGAATTCGTTCAAAAATTTGAAGTCTATTACAAACGTTTAACGACACTACAAAATTTGGATTTGCATACACTACTCAACAATCCTTAATACAATGGGCTAAGTTTTGATTTGTATCCAAGCTTGGCTCATCACAAGGAAGCCCAGATCAGCAGCCTGCAAAACAAAGAAGAAATGAAAATCAGCCCAGTTTCAGTCCACAGTTCAAAGATAGATCAAGCCCAGAGCTAGGCCCAAATTCAAATCCGTCCAAGCCCATTTCAAGCCCAGACGAAGAAGAGCACTCCAGGCCCAATTTGGTCAATAAGTTGAAGCTGGAGGGACTGGCCCAAACTTGGTTCAATCTTATCCAACACCTGTCTTTACCAGTCAGAACCGACTAAGCAAGGTGGAGACTTCAGATGCAGCCTTGAGGATCAACCAATCAGAGAGAAGCATGTCATACTCATCATCAATCACAGCATGACACATGGCGTGCAATTTTTGCTATAAATGAGCTCTTTGGGCTCTGCGTTGGGGGGGGGGGGGGGACGAATTGGAGGAGAGAAAAAAAAGACATACATAAAATTCTAAAAAACACTCTAATGTTTTCATTACAACAAGCTGAGTCCAGGAATTAGATCGGAGCAGCATCAAGGAAGTGTTCTCGGAGAAAAATCTTAATAAGGTTGGTATTTTAACTCTGCTTCCATGATTCATGGTAAATTTCACGTCATTTAGCATAATCTCCACTATATCGTGGTACCGATATAATCATCCATCAGATTATCTATTTATATTCAAGCGATTCACTTTACGAGCCCCTATATATTCAAGGACACTATTTACATAAAATAAAATATGCTCATAGTAGTTCCAATTCGGCATTAAGCTTCTTTAGATTGAGCATCTATTTACTTTTTCTTATCAATTGATAGTCTATTACAATTTTCTCCCATACTTTCTCTTATCAATTGATAGTCTATTACAATTTTCTCCCATGCTTTCGTAATTTTTTTTTTTTTTGCATATGGTTGATAAGCACGATCATCATACATAAACAGTGGCAGCGGTTTGCAGTCATTAGTCTAATTAAATCACAAGCAGTGGCTATGACAATTAATGATTTAGCCTGTTATAAATAAAACTAATGGTGTCTTTATGAAACTGATTTGCATAGTCAAGATTCCAAAGCGAACTTAAGCATC